CCCTGGAAAGATGGGCAAATGCTAACTTCGTATCTGCTCCCCTCCAGAGCTAAAGCTAGGCAAATTTGATACAAACTAAATTAATCTTGATTTCATTAAATCTCGGGTCTGCAGTGCCATTTGCTCACAGAACGCTTCCCCTCTCTGAACTAATGTCTCTTGTCAAGGCTCTTAATAACGACGATCTGCCATGGTGTATTTGACTTAAGGTTGTCAAAGGATTGCATTGGGAGGATCTCACCACTTTGCTTGGAAAGAAAACGGGGGCATCCACTCACTTTATATCGCGAGGCCATCATTCCAATATGCTTATATTGACGGGGGCCTGATGAAGAAGTTGTCTGATGGGGGAATACAGCAACTCACAGCCCTAAGGCCAGACAAGAACCCGTCAATACTAAAGCTACTTTTAGTGTAAGGTTACAGTAATAGCATCTGGAAAGCCTGGAAACACACACACATATACACGCACACACACGGCTTTTATGTTCCAGAGAATGAGGAAGGGTCAGATCTGAGGTACTTTCTCCATCTTCATTCCTGCTTTGGACTCAAATGTCTCCTGTCTGTCTGTCTATCATCTCTATCCATCTCTCTTTCTATTTCTCTAGCTCTAGCTCTTTCCTTCTCTCTCTCTCATCTATCTATCTCCATCAATCTCCATCCATATCTGTCTATCTGTCTGTCTGTCAATCTATCATTTTCTATCTCCCTCCATCTATTTATCTGTCTCTTTATCTATCTCTATCCATCTCTCTCCTCTCTCTCTCTCTCTCTCTCTATTTCTCTCTCTCTTTATCTATCTCTCTCCATCTCTCTCTCCATCAATCTCCATCTATCTATCTATCTATCCATCCATCTCTCTCTCATCTCTCCATATATTTCCATCCATTATCTATCTATCTATCTATCTATCTATCTATCTATCTATCTATCTATCTATCTATCTATCTATCTATCTATCTATCTATCTCATCTATCTATCCATCCACCTCTCTCTCATCTCTCTCCATATATCTCCATCCATATCCATCCATCCATCCATCCATCCATCCATCCATCCATCCATTTCTCTCACTCTTTATCTATCTCTATCCACCTCTCTCTCATCTCTCTCCATATATCTCCAACCACATCTATCTATCTATCTATCTATCTATCTATCTATCTATCTATCTATCTATCTATCTATCTATCTATCATCAGATTTAAGAACTGCCCATCTCCCAGACAGAGGAACTTTGGGTGGTGTACAATAAAATTATTAAAAGCAGACCTTCTCTGCCTGGGTGGGATGGGCTGAAATAACGGGACAATGTCGGATCCATAGGTAACCTGTGCTGTACCTCTTCTTCCTGTCTCTCAAGATTATCCTCAAAGCCCATCACAGAAAACCCCCTGCCTCAACCCCACAGCTATAAATCCAGGTGCCAGAAAGTGCCTCCTCCCATACAGCTGAGTAATTTTATGATGATGCGTTTTCCTGACTTCAGAAAGAGCTTTGTTCAAAAGGCACGCCTGGTTCAACATTGTGTAAACAAAAAGTTCCAACTCTGCGAAGAAAAGCATGTGTAAACATTACAAAAAATATGTTTTAGATTCCCTTAAAAACACTCAACTGAATGGACCAAATATTTACTGGAGGTGCTAAAGCAAATACACAACACATCTGCTCCTCTTCACAATTTCATGGAAGGCAACGACAGCCTTCAATAAACACGGGCCTCAAATGCACAGGGCCTCAAATGCACACGGAAACTTTGAAATGTGATGGTTTTTTGGGTTTTTTTTTTGCTTGAGCTTTCTTGTTTAAGGTTTTGGAAAATATTATTTAAAGGTCAAATGAAATGATCTATTTGTCTACTCTCTCTTTCTCTGCTATCTCGGTGGGTTCAGCGCCAACTTTCCGCTAGATCCTCTGGGAAGGAGGTCCACATTCTTATCTCCTAAGGACTGATGCAGAAAAGGACCCGCTTTGTGTGTGCAGCTGGGGGTCCCACCACAGGAAAGCCCCCCAATCCTCAATAGATATCCTTAGGGGGTCATGCAAGGCAGGAAGGCTGTAGAGCAGAGCACGGGAGATGAAGGAGAACCGAAGCAACCATAGAAAAGTGGCTTGATGATCCTTAGAGTCAGTTTGGTCTACTGGTTAAGGCACCAAGCTAGAAAGTGGAAGATTGTGAATTCTAGTCTTGCTTTAGCCATGAAAGACGGCTGGGTGTCTATGGCTCAATCACCAGGAGATGGTGAGTTCTAGTTCTGGCTTAGGCATGAAAGCTGGCTGAGTGACTTTGAGCCAATCACCAGGAGTTGGTGAGTTCTAGTCCTTCCTTAGACAATGAAAGCCAGCTGGGTGACTTTGAGCCAATCACCAGGAGACAGTGAGTTCTAGTCTTGCCTTAGGCATGAAAGCTGGCTGAGTGACTTTGGCCAATCACCAGGAGACGGTGAGTTCTAGTCTTGCCTTAGGCATGAAAGCTGGCTGAGTGACTTTGGCCAATCACCAGGAGACGGTGAGTTCTAGTTCTACTTTCAGGCATGAAAGCCAGCTGAGTGATTTTGGGCCAATCACTAGGAGATGGTGAGTTCTAGTTCCACCTTCAGGCATGAAAGCCGGCTGGGTGACTTTGGCCCAATCACCAGGAGACGGTGAGTTCTAGTCCTGCCTTAGGCATGAAAGCTAGCTGGGTGACTTTGGCCCAATCACCAGGAGATAGTGAGTTCTAGTCCTGCCTTAGGCATGAAAGCTAGCTGGATGACTTTGGCCCAATCACCAGGAGATAGTGAGTTCTAGTCCTGCCTTAGGCATGAAAGCTAGCTGGATGACTTTGGCCCAATCACCAGGAGACGGTGAGTTCTAGTCCTACTTTAGCATCAAAGCTAAAGTAACTCCGGGCCAGTCCCTGTCTTTCAGCCTAACCCATCACACAGAGCTGTTGTTGTCATGCGGAAAATAAAGAGGAAGTGTGCTGTATCCGTTCGCCACCCTCAGCTACTTGCCAAATAACCCAGGCGGGAAATAAATAAGTCAATTTTAAAAATAATTAACAAAATGACCTCCGCCCCCCCCCCTCCCCAAGGCTCGTGGGCTCCTTCCAGGCACTCCCAGCAAAGTGACCTTTTGCCTTTTGGCTTCCTAATCTTTTTATTAGTAGCGATGGCAATCCTGCCCCTCCCCTGTGCCCCCCAGGCCCCCCCCACACCACTCCTCTTCCACTTAGGCTTCCCTGCATTTAGCCAACAGCTGTCACTGAAGGTAAATTCTACAGTTGCCTAGTAACTACCAGATAAGGAAGCCAGCGAACCTGTCTTTGCAGGCTGCATGCTTAATGGCCAGGGAAAAAGGAGAGGTTTGCTGGCCGTGATGGTTTATTAGTGGTCCGTCTCCCACGGAAACGCAGCTGCCCCCTCTCAAACAGGTGTCTAAGCCGACAGCTGTGTGAAGGGGAGCCGATTGATCAGTGAGTTTTGCCCCGTTTTTACCGCCTTCCCCGCTACGGTTCTTAAGCGGATCGCCGCAATTATGAAGTCAACGGCATGGTGAATCTGCCTTTCCCACTGACTTTGCTTGCCGGAAGTTTTGCAAAAGGGGAATCGCCCTGCAGCCATCATCAATAGGAGTCAGCGGCCCAGGGTCTGAATTTTGACCGAGCGATGGTGCGAGGATGCCGAGACGGTCGTTCAGTGTGAACAACGGTCAGAAGCAACGGTCACGAAACGGATGGCTGCTAAGTCGAGGGCCACCTGTACAGACTTTGCACCTGGCCAATAATACAGGGGTGGCTCACCGCTGCATAATGGCCGAAGGAAGAAACTCTACTGCTACAGCAAAACGACAGATGGCTTCGATAATGTTATTTATTAAAACTGGAATTGGGTCTGTCTAGTTTAACGAAGAGAAGGACGAGGGGGGAGATGACAGCAGTGTTCCACTATCTTAGGGGCTGGAAGTTTTTAAGAAGAGATTGGAGAAGCGTTTGTCTGAAATGGTATAGGGTTTCCTGCCTAAGCAGGGAGTTGGACTAGATGACCTCCAACTCCCTTCCAACTCTGTTCTTCTGTTATCTCCCACATGATAGCAGTGTTCCAATATCTGAGGGGCTGCCCCAAAGAAGAGGGAGTCAAGCTATTCTCCAAAGCACCTGAAGGCAGGACAAGAAGCAACGGATGGAAACTAACCAAGGAGAGAAGCAACCTAGAACTAAGGAGAAACTTCCTGACTGTTAGAACAATTAACCACTGGAACAGCCTGCCTCCAGAAAGCGTGGGCGCTCCATCACTGGAGGTTTTTAAGAAGAGACTGGACAGCCAGTTGGGGTGAGCAGCAGGCCCGTGTGCACACCACTTGGGCAAATGGAGCTGTGTGTTTGTGTGTGCTTGCTGGCCGCTCATGTGTAACCATCCCTTCTTTCCCCTCCCTCCTGCTGCTCCACAAGTTTGGGGGAAACTGTGCCTTGAACCTGGGGTCCCCAACCTCTGATCCGTGGACCGGTACAGGGCCACGGCATGCCAGCAACTGATCTGCACCAACAAGCCAAGCCCCATCTGTGGGATGCAGGCAGCACACAAAACCACGCATCTCCGGTCTGCGGAAAAACCTCTCTCCAAGGAACCAGTCCCTGGTGCCCAAAAGGTTGGGTACCTCTGCCTTAAACCACAAACTCTGAACTGCACAAGTAGATATAGAAACAATTCGGACTCCCAGCTACGCTGAGTAGGCCTTCTCATTACTTGCCCCATGAATCCATACGGAACGCTAAACCAAAAATGCATTTCAGCGGTGTAGAGAGAGAACAGAGTTCCCATTTTGACATGTCTAAAAGCCGTACCCCAATACAAGGAATCTAAACGTGACAGATTCTCGCTGATAGGAAAGGAGGAAAGGTGTAAATGACACAGACCTCTCAAACCAACTACTGTCTTTTATCTTTTATCTCCCAGATCGTTGAGGAGGTCTGGAAACAAACCAACAAACCCAGCACCAAACGTGGATGACTTACCCAAAAGCCGCAACGGGTATTCGCTAGGTTTAGGCTGATGACATTCAACCGAAAACACCGGGATCCTCTCTTCTAAAAAAAGCATTTGCTCCAATGTTTTCGGTGTTGCTGCAGGTTGTCTGGAGGGCAACTCATTTCCAACCTGAAAAGGGACAGAAAGAGAAAGATGGGGACTTGTTCTCTTTTGGGGACAATTGTGGCAATGGTCCGCCACCTTCTTTTTAAGGACGAAAATGACAAGAACGGAGAAGAAGAAGAAGAAGAAGAAGAAGAAGAAGAAGAAGAAGAAGAAGAAGAAGAAGAAGAAGAAGAAGAAGAAGAAGAAGAAGAAGAAGAAGAAGAAGAAGAAGAAGAAGAAGAAGAAGAAGAAGAAATTCTTTTTTTTTAAATAATTTTTTATTTTTCCAAACTCTCCCCCATACATATACTGTGATATTTATCAGATGTTAACATACATTCTTTTTACATTCATATATAAAATACTTTTAATAAAATGAAATAAATACATACACATGACTTGCTCGCCCATTTCCCCTTTCACTGCATCCACACTCCTTCTTCTCTACCTTCTTTCTCCCTTTCTTCTCTTCCCTACTTCCCTCTTCTTCCTCCCCTCTTCTCTTTCCTTCACCACTCTCCTCCCCTTTCTCCTCTTCTCCTCCAGCCTTCCTACTTCCTTCTCCCCTCCTTCACTCTTTTCTCTCTCCTCTCCTTTCTTCCCTCTCATCCCTCTTCAGATACAATTCAGGGGTAATGTCCGAGCAACTCCTCTCTCCAAATGTCCCTATCTGTATTATATACAATAAGATTAATTTTCTCTTCCATTAATACTTCTATTTATCTAACCTTCTCAGTATATACGTCTATAAATATTTATACAACTTATTTACACAATTTATACAATTCTTGAATGACAATTCTCAGTTGCCTTTGCCCCTGTAGTTCAAAAGTATCTCAAGTTAAATATATTTCGGTTTGGAGAAGATGGATTGATTATATTCAAAAGAAATATGAGACTGAAAAGTATTATCTTGCTTATGAGTAAATTTTAGATTATTATTAATAGTTTAATATGGTTGAATTTATATTATTTTTAGTATTATGGTTTAATTATATTATTATTTTTGTTTTTAATTTGTTAACATTTATTTTGAAAAGGAGTTAAAGTATGTTATGGTTTGATTGATAGTATAGTTGGGTAATGTTACTTAGATTATGTTTGTTTATTTGTTACCCTGTAATCAGCTCTGGGAAGTGGGGGAGAGGTGGAGGGGTGGGAGGGATTTGGGATATATTGTATGAAATTTTTAAAACTTTTAATAAAAAAAAAGTATCTCAAATTGCTGATCTGTCTTGGGGCAAAAGATAGAAAAAGCAATTGATGAGGAGTGGAGACCCACAAAAAGTCTGTATTCTAATAGAAGATAATCTTTGTAGCTGAGAGCTGAACTGTGGTCTCTGAGCGTAGTGGTTTTCTTGCAGACGTTTCGTTACCTAACTAGTTAACACGATCAGAGCTGGAAGAAAGGATCTGCAAGGAAACAGCCAAGCTCAGAGAGTACCAAGGACCCCACAGTTAGAACGATTAATCAGTGGAACAGCTTGCCTCCAGACGTTGTGGATGCTTTTTAAGAAGAGACTGGGCAGCTATTTGTCTGGAATGGCGTAGGGCAGGGGTAGGCAACCTTGGCTCTTTTAGGACTCGTGGACTTCAACTCCCAGAATTCTGGGAGACAAGGTTGCCTATCCCTGGTGTAGGGTCTCCTGCTTCAGCAGGGGGTTGGACTAGAAGACCTCCAAGACCCCCCAACTCTGTTATTCCGTAACATTGGCAGTTTGCAATCATGTGAGGCCTTCAGGAGCAGGAGAAAAAGTTCAACAGAGTCACAATGCCAAGGCGGGGGGGGGGAGTTAGACTAGAAGACCTCCAAGGTCCCTTCCAACTCTGTTCTTCTTATTCTGTTAGTTGTTTCAGCCGTGCAAGGGAGCAACCGTGCCCGTCTTGGCATGGACTTCACAGCTTCAGGGCATCAGGGCATCATCTTGGTATCTGAGTAAGTGTCAACCTTAGAAAGGAGCTAACTTTAGCAAAGTGTTTGAGGAGTCAGTCATCCTTAACCATCCAGGCTGGGCTCCAATTGCTATTCCTGTTTCATGCTGCGTTTGGCTCCGCTCCCTGAACACTCCACTGCCAATCTTTGCACGTTTGATATTTATATTCCCTCGCCTGCCCCGCTAGAATAGCAGTCCTCCTCCACCCCAACGAAAGGGAAACATTGCACATTTGCATAACCATGGTCTCTTTTTGGCTTCCCCAAAGAGCAGTGTCTTTTTGGGAAGCAATCAATTTCCAAGACAAACTGAAGGAAATATCTCACACTGACAATCACGAAACACCTGGCCGAAGGAGGCTGCTCAAAGCCATCCAAAACACAGGGCAGGAAAACACGAGGAACCCCACCAGCATTCTCCCTTAAGCTGCCTATTCTGACACCCAACAAAGACTTGACACCTAAGAGGACCTACATTTGCAGCTCACCGGCCCTTCCTCAAAAAAGTGATTAAAAATGATAAATCAGAACTAAAAGAGAGAAAAGACAGAATCAGTTGCTAGTTGAAAACACCAGTTGCAGACCAGAAACAATTCTATTTTAGAATAGAATAGAATAGAATAGAATAGAATAGAATAGAATAGAATAGAATAGAATAGAATGGGATGGGATGGGATGGGATGGGATGGGATGGGATGGGATGGGATGGGATGGGATGGGATGGGACAGGGAGGGACAGGACGGGATGGGATGAGCTGGGATAGAATGGAATGGAATGGAATGGAATAGAATAGAATAGAATAGAATAGAATAGAATAGAATAGAATAGGAGCTGGAAGGACCTTGGAGGTCTTCTAGTCCAGCCCCCTGCTCAAGCAGGAGAACCTATACCATCTCAGACAGGTGATTGTCCAGTCTCTTCCTAAAAATCTCCAGTGATGAAGCACCCACCATTTCTGGTGGCAAGCTGTTCCACTGGTCGATTGTCCTCACTGTCAGGAAGTTTCTCCTTAGTTTCAGGTTGCTTCTCTCCTTGATTAGTTTCCAACCATTGTTTCTCATCCTTCCCTCTGGTGCTCTGGTGAATAACGTGACCCGCTCTGCCTTGTGGAAGCCCCTCAGATACTGGAACACTGCCATCATGTCTTCTCTATTTTACAAAGTCATCGTTGCACACAGAATTCATACCTTCCTTAATTCAAGAGATCTGCCAACAGCTTTGCAAGAGTCCTTCAGAGTCTCACTCTGAAGGATCTTACCAAAGGTTTACTGAGGGTCAGGATCTGGTTCTTCACCACTTCCTCCCCCCCTTCCAGCAGGATCTGGGCCACTGAAAAGGTTTTGTTTTTTTTTAATTTATTCATTGACGTATCACTGGTTGTTTCTCCTCCCCACATCGGAATAAAGGCTGAAATTCAAACCTTTGGATCTCTTTAGCCCTACTGAAACATTCAGAGGCAGACTTACACCTTCCACAACAAGGAACAGAGACCTTTGCATTTGTATCCGAAGTAAAGAAAAAGGGGCAGGTAAGCGGGTAAACAGAAAAGATCTCCAACATTTTGGGGCAACCAGGATCAGATATTGTACAATTCGGAGGAAACTTGGTTCGGTCTATGATTCTCAGCTGGATGTGTACGAAGTCAGCACACACACACACACACTCTCTCAGGGAAGGAAATATTTTGGGGGATACTAAAAAAGACAGAATATTTCCCCAAAGGACTAATAGAAAAATCTTGGGCAGAAAGCAGCCCCCAGTCTCCTTCCCCCCCCCCAGGCAGAGGCCACCTTTTTAGAAATGCAGATTTGGGACCATCTATTCATAAGCAAAATGCCTTCAGCCCCAGCCCCAGAGAAGGTTTGAGCTGATGGGATTAGAAAAACAAAGACTCCCAAGGACAGGAGCATGACCTTTAGGACACAATAGTTGAGTAGTCCTCGACTTACGACCGGTTGAGTAGTCCTTGACTTACGACCGGTTGGGGGTCGCGGCATTAAAAAGGTTGAAAACAACTGGTCTAGCAGGTCTGAAGAGAAATGACGCTGTTGGTCTTCCCATTCCCAATTATTTGCAGTAATTCCTCCAAGGGGGTTGCATTTCAGTACAATGCAGGGAGGAAGGGAGGAAGGGAGGAAGGGAGGAAGGAAGGAAGGAAGGAAGGAAGGAAGGAAGGAAGGAAGGAAGGAAGGAAGGAAGGAAGGATCATCTGAATCTCAATCCAAAAAGCATCTAAGTATCTCCCACATCTGGAGATGGAACCTTCAGGAGAACTTCCTTCTTAAATAAGACAAAGCCAATCCAGACATTCCAGAGACAATCCCATTTCACGGCCAGACCTCATCCACAACAACATAAATAACTTCCTGTTTCAGAGGAAGTCTAGACTGGTTGAACTGACATGATCCAGAGAATGAAGAGACTGTTCCAGAATTCTCCAGAACTTTCCATTTCTGGAGGCAGCATGCTGTACCCAGAATGAAAGTCTGTAGCATAAGACGTCTATAATACCATCTTCATTTTAAAAGAGGGTCTCAAACTTGAGGTAGACCAACGGAATTTGTAGGAAATAAGTAGGCCATCCTATCCCTTATTTAGAAGGTTCAGAAGCCCAAAGGCCAAATATAATGATGCTAAAAGGCAGCAGAAGCCCTCTGTGGTCTACTAATAAATGGATATTCTATGCTTAGCCGTGTTCAAATTTCTTCCAGTTTTTTGTAGGCCAACAATACCGCCCCCCCCCCCCCGCTTCAGCAAAGAAATCATTTTATTAAGGACCAAAAATAAATCATTAAAACAAGCCAATTGTTTCTATATTTCACATTGCATCCAATTATTCTTCCCATCCACTTTCCTTTTTTTTTTTTAACATCGAGAAATGGGAATCTACTAGTAATGGATTAAAGAGCTTAGAGTACCTTGAAGGGATGCAGATAAGAGAGTTTGGCAGACCAAAAAAGAAAGGAAGGGGGAAAAAAAGATAACTCATTTGAATAAACTCAGTAAGCATCTTCGTGGATGCCATAGCAACTCTGGAAAAACCCAAATATGTGGTGGTGGGGGGAATGCATTAAGCTTTTACGTGCGGGC